ACAATTTAACCGGAAACGTTCTTTGCAAAGTGGGGAGTAGTGTGGGAGGGGAGCCAATGTAAGTGAAAAGTCTTTTTGCAAAGAGAGAAGGGCAGAGGCAATTTCCTTGGGATCTTCTTGTCAAAGGGGCAGGGGCTAGCTGAACCGGTTTACAATGTGGGAAATTTTTTTTGTAAACTGAAGGAGGGGAGGGGGAGTGCTGCCTAAAATAATTTACGGGGAAATTGTCTCTGCAAAAGGGAGAGCCTGAGGCAATTTAACGCGCTGGAAATCTGCCTTCAAACTGGGTGTGAGAGGGCCGAACCACTTTACCTGGCAAAATTCTTTGCAAATGGGGAGGGGCCTGAAACCAGGGGTTTAGAAAAACTTGGGGGTGGGGGAAAAATTCCATCAGCATAGAGGCCACTGGGTCTGGGATTGTATTGTATTCTGCAGCAGCTGGAGGGGGGATGTAGACCTGGGGGGGAACTGCCCTCCTTGACCCCTAGCAGATGAGGCACTGCAGTTTAACTGGAGATTCTCTTTCCAGACTGGGTTTGAGTGATTTAATGGGGGTCGGGGTTTAAATGGGGACAGATTTTGGTCTTGATCTAAGCAGTTTGAACTGATTTGCAGCCTGGATTGGAGGGAATTAATTGGGAGATTTGTCTCTGCAGCTCCCCCTGCCCTGTGTTTGTGGGGGATTGGCTCTGAGCCTCCCCCCCCCCCATTTTATTGTCTTTCCATAGCTGCTTTGAGCTGTAAAATCCAAGAGATGCCTGGCCAGGGGCGGAGTGGGGGGGATGCACCCTGCAGTGTTTCTGGGGCCCCCTGCTGTGCCACCTGTGACCATGAAGGTTGGAGGAAGGGGGACCCCGGCTCCCCAGTCCATGGATGTGAGGACCCAAGAGGGTGACCCTTCAGAGTGAAACAGACACAGGGCCAGCACCCTCAGCGGGCGTAGGTCTCCATAGCTCCACGGCAGAGCCTGACATCAGCTTTACACCTGCTGAGCATCCGGCTGCCGGTGTTGGAATTTCCAAAGAAAGCCAGACTCAAACTGGGCACCTAATTCCCTTAGGCCCCTTAGAAAAATCCCCAGATAAATTGCTTTATAGTGGGACCCCCCTGAAATGCGGGAGGAGAGGATCTCTGGGCTTCATTGCATAGAGAGGTGGGAATGTCACAGGGTCTTGTGGTGACTCTTACCCAAGCTTCATAGCCAAATACAGAGAGGTGAGGGGCCAAAGTCTCAGCTGGTGCAAATTCAGACCAGCGTGGAAACTCTTGCACTGTAAAGAACCTGACAAGGAAATGGCAGAAACTTAGAGGGTTGAGATTTCCCCAGGCTAAGGCAGTCAGCTGCCCCAAACCCCATTTAAAATTAGTGGGACTTCAGCATCCAAATCCCCTAGGAGACATTGGGACTCTCAGCTAGAGCTTCCCTTAATTTTAGTGGCAGACATGCACCTAAATCCCCTAGATGGCATTGAGGCTTTCAACCTGGATCTTCCAGTGGGATTACTTGCAACTAGACCACGTCGTTTTGTGTTGACGGAGCTGGGCTGGGGAAAGGCCATCTGGCTTTTGTTTCCTTAGATCCTAGCTAGCATGAGAGGGGGCGTTGCCTCTGAGGGCAAGGAGGTGAGTTGCTACCAAGTACAGTACAAGAGACTTTTTAGTGCATTGGGCTTTTCTCTGATTGGGATGCAAGGTTGACTGCCAGTCTGAATTTGTCTAGCTTCAACTTCCGGCCACTGGATATTTTTAATCAGAATGTCGTGCCAGGTCAAACACCTTTCAGAATTCACAGTGTGTTACGTCAGCACTTTTACCTTTATCAACCAAATGTGTAATCTCATTACAAAAATATCAGATTAGTTTGGTAGAATCTAGTTTCCATAAATCCATGTTGATTTGCATTAATTATAGTACTCTTCATTAGTTATTTATTAATCAAGTCCCATATCAGCTGCTCCCTGGTCTTGCCCAGGATCAATGTCTGGCTGACAGGCCTCTAATTACCAACGTCATTCCATTTACCCTTTTTAAAAATTGGCACACAATTAGTTTTCTTCTAGTCTTCTGGAACTTCCCCAGTGGTCCACGAGTGATCAAAAATCTTCATTAATGGTCTCCTCAGCCAGCTCTTTTAAAACTCTTGGATGCAAGTTCTCTAGACTTGCTGATTTAAAAAATTCCTTTCTTTTCCCCCCACCTGAAGAGCTTTACTAAGTAGCTGCAGAGGGAAATGCAGCTGCTGCTGGGCTGGAACCCACCTGCTAACAGTGCGCAGCAATGCTAAACGTTTCCAGAGAGGAAGTGAAGGGGAAGCCTGCATCCAAACAAATCTGTAGAGGGGAATTTTAGGGATTAAGAACAATAGAAATGTCAGGCTGGAAGGGACCGTGAGAAGTTATTGAGTCCAGTCCCCTGTGCCGAGGCAGGACCAAGTAAAGCTAGACCAGCCCTGACAGGTGTTTGTCCATCCTGTTCTTAAACATCTCCAGTGATGGGATTGGAGATGGACAAATCGGGGCTCTTGATTTATATTTCTGACTCAAGGTCATTGGTTCTGAGGTGGGGGTGGAGTAGCAAGATCCAGGGGTCTGATTGGGCATGGCACATGGGGGGGTGAGTGTGATGCTGCACTCCATAATGTTTTATGGAAATATGCTTATGAGTGTGAACATAATGTAACTAGAATATGCTTTATGCAAAAGGTCTCTTTTAAGGTTTTGAAATTGAAATTAATGGAGATATCCCATCTCCTAGAACTGGAAGGGACCTTGAAAGGTCATCGAGTCCAGCCCCCTGCCTTCACTAGCAGGACCAAGTACTGATTTTGCCCCAGATCCCCAAGCGGCCCCCTCAAGGATTGAACTCACAACCCTGGGTTTAGCAGGCCAATGCTCAAACCACTGAGCTATCCCTCCCCCCATCACAAAGCTTATAATCTACTGAGTGTGTTCATCCTATTTGTTTGCATTTATTATTTCTCTGTCTGGAGTTAGGAGAATAAGATATAAACTTGTATTACTGATGTAAAAACATTAAGTGGAAGCCATTAAGGGTGCTTCAGAATCAATGAACTGTGAATGGCTTTGTTTACCTGCAAGCCTTCCTGTGTAAGTGTCCGCCAGCTCCTAGGTAATGAAGAAGGAGGTCTTAAAGTGACATGTGATCATATCACCTAGACTGGAATCCATCTTAAACCTGGTGCTTTTCCATTTAGAGGGAGGGGTGGGAACCCAGAGAGAGACAAAGGATTCCCGACTTGGACCAAAGCTATAAAAGGGGGTGGAACAGAACAAAGGGAGTACCAGTCATGAGAAAGCCCCTGCTTTTCATCTAAGATGCCTGCTGAAACTAACAAGGACTGTACCAGAGGAAAGGATTTGGGCCCAAGACTAGGAAGGAGTCTAGTCTGTGAAAGAAGCTTATTGGAACATCTCTGAGGGTGAGATTTACCTGTAAACAGTTTCGTAATGTATTAGGCTTAGAAACCTAGGCTTAGAATTGAGTGTTTTTGCTTTATTTTGCTTGGTAACTTACTTTGTTCTGTCTGTTATTACTTGAAACCACTTAAACCCTACTTTTTATTCTTAATAAAATCACTTTTGTTTATTATTGAACCCAGAGTAAGTGATTAATACCTGGGAGAGCAAACAGCTGTGCATCTCTCTCTATCAGTGTTACAGAGGTCGAACAATTTATGAGTTTACTCTGTATCAGCTTTATATAGAGTAAAACGGATTTATTTGGGGTTTGGATCCCATTGAAAACTGGGTGTCTGGGTGCTGGAGACAGGTGACCTGCTGAGCAGTTTTTGGTTAAAGTCTGCAGCTTTGGGGGCGTGGACCAGACCTGGGTCTGTGATGCAATAGGCTAGCGTGTCTGGCTCAACAAGTCAGGGTTCTGGAGTCCCAAGTTGGCAGGGAAAACTGGCTCAGAGGTAATTCCAGCACGTCAGGTGACAGTCCCAAGGGGGTCTCTGTGACTGAACCTGTCACAGTGGGGATATCGGTTTAGCTGGGCCCAGGGGTTGCATCAAACAAGGCAGAGCGTGAGGGGAGCCTGCACACTGGAGGGGTCATGGTGCCCAATGCACTCCCTATAGAAGTGCATTTCTGGGAATAGGACTCTCTCATCATTTACTGTAAAGAGGCAGAGGAACTTTCCAAGGGGCTAGCTCAGGGGCCAGTACCACCCGGGGCTGTGTGTCTCAAAGGGCAGAGCTAATTTACCTTTGAAAAATCCCTGTGGCCCCGAGCGATCGCTTGCCTTGCTTATAATGGCTAGAAGATCATGTTCTCTGACCTCCGTGAAACAAATATGCGGCCCAGGCACCAGCTGTGTCCTCGGGTTTACAGAGCCCATGTCCTAGCCACTGAGCGAGGGAGGGCAGGTGCTCGTAGATTCAGAAACTTTAATTCTCTCCCAACCTCTCCCACCCCACTCGCTGAGCTATAGGGCAGTCTCTGGCCATCCTTGCGCTGGGCTACTGGGCTCCCTGCCCCACTCACCACAGCCCAGCGCCCCATAGCACTGCTGTGGAGCCAGCCCTGCCTGCCAGGGGAGAGCGCCCCCTGCTCACCCATGCCCCGCTCCCTGCAGCACAGCGCCCCTTAGTGCGACACTGGGGCATTGGGGTCAGCACTGACTGCCAGGCGAGAGCACACCCCCGACTGAGCCCCGCTCCGTGCAGCACAGTGTCCCCAAGTGCCACACAGGCATTGGGGTCAGCACTACTGCCAGGGAGAGCACCCCCTACTGAACCCCCTCACTCCACTCCCTGTCCCACAGCACCCCCTAGTGCTGCAGTGGGGCCAGCACTGACTGCTAAGGAAGAATGCCCCCTGTTGAGCCCTGTACCCCACTCCCTACCCCACAGCACCCCCTCCAGACCCTTGCACACACTCGCGGCCACATCTGTTCCAGTAAATGTGTTTTATTCCCAGCACTGAAGGGCAAACTCAGCTCAACGCAGCCTAGGGCGCTTCCCTGGGCTCTGGTGCAGCTCACGCTTTCTCGTTGTACTGCACCGGCCACATGCCGTGGACGCAGCCAATGACAATGTACCTGGAGGCCGCATGGCTGCGGTAGATGCACCGGGCGCCCTGCATCCGCCTGAGCTCGCAGGTGGTGACGGCCAGCGGCCTCTTGCTGCGGCGCATGCCCTGGTAGGGCGTGCCCCCGTCCCCACACACGCTCCGGAGCTGGGCCCGGGAGGCGTGGATGAAGGTGTTGATGTCTTTGCAGGGCCGGGCCATGCCCCGGCGCTGCATCATGGCCCAGCAGTAATCCCGCCCAGCATTGGTCCGCGGGTTGTCGAGGTGCTGCCGCAGGAACTTCTGATAGCGCGGGCCGTGGGTTGAGGCGCACAGGAGCAGGCAGGCCACCAGCAGTGCCAGAAAGAGGGGGCCGGTGCCCTTCAGAACGCCCATCGCCACCTGCAACATCACGCAGGGCCGTCTGGCTCGGTACGTGCCCTCAGCCACGGCAGCGAGGGAGAAGCCCTCCTGGGCTGACCCCGCAAACGTGGGGCATAGCCATGTGTCCGTGGTACAGGTGGGAAACTGATGCATGGAGACACTGAGCCTGAGGTTTCTAAGGCTTCCCTCCGTGGGTACTGGCTCCGCAAATTGATTAAGCAGTTTTGGAAAATCTCAGACTAAGTGACTGTCTGGAGTCACACACGCCCTGCAGGAGCTAGCAATAGAACTCAGGAGTCCTGATGCCCAGCCCCCCGCCCCTCCCTCCAACAACTAGACCCCACTCCTGGCTTCTAGCCCTCCCAGCTATAACCTTAGACCCACTCCTATCCCAGAGCCAGTGGTAGAACCCAGGAGTCCTGGCTCCCAGTCCCCCTGCTCTAACCACTAGCCCTCACTCCCCTCCCAGAGCTGGGGATAGAACCCAGGAGTCCTGGCTTCAAGCCAATCAATGCCTGGCCTCACTGGATCGATTTGCATCTATGTGTCTCTCTCTGGGTTTTGTCTGCCTGGCTTTTCATTTGTGTCGCGTGCTGAGGTCTTTGGCTTTCACCACTCGGTGTTTCTGCCTGTCTGTGTTAGCAAGTGTGAAAAGTTGGGACACTTTTTTTCAGGGGCAGAGGGTATATTTGTCCAAATAAGACAAAGCCCCTAATACTGGGACATCTGGTCGCCCCACTCTATGCCCTGCCTGGGGTGTGCGTACCTGCCTAGGTGAGCATCTTTCCAAAAGCTGTGGGTGTCTGTCCCTCTGGGCCAGTCTCTTTGTCCATTTCTTTCCAGCTGGTCTCAGGGGGCTGGGGAAGGTCCAGAGCTCTGTTCCCCTTAGCTAGATCCTTCACTGATCCAGTCACCTTCTCAGCCTCTCCTCTGGCTGAGCTGGGCACCCCACCGCCCCGCCCCGGCCCTGCTCCCCACCCTGGGTTTAATCCAGTCTCTGCCTTACCTGGTGGCTTCGCTCCTGCTAGAGCACAGGGTCTAAAGCTGAGCGTCTGAGTCTCCAGCCTGGCATGTGCCCCTTATATACAGCCTGGCTGGCCAGAGAGGGCTCCCTCGAGCCAGTTTCACCTGCCCAGGCCCAGAGATGTCGGGTGGGGCATGAAGCCAGTGAGCACTGGGCACCGGCTAGTTGTTTAGCCAGCTCCTTCCAGCACTAGGGAGCCTGGCGACCTCCGAAGCCAGGAGCAGGGTTGGCTGGGGTGGGACCATAGGGTCTTGCTCGGTGACCTCTAGGGGAAGGCGTGGTGGGCAGTGCCGGGTTTACAATGGCGCGATGGAGCCGGGCTCATGCTCAGAAGGGGCCCTGTCCTGCTCTGCTTGCACTGTGCCCTGAGATCCCGCCAGTCCGCTGGCTCCCTTCCGCTGCCCACTACTTGCTCCTTTCAGCCTGCCCGCTGGTTAGCCAAGGGCTCCTCTCCACCCCCTGGCCTCAACCTCCGGCTTCTTTCTGCCCCCTACCCAGACCTCAGTGCACCTCTAGCTTCAGGCAGTCTCTGCTTCCCACCACCTGTGGGGCCCCACCTGTCTCCCTGGAGCTGAGCCGCCTGGGACTGGTGCAGAAGCCTGGCCAGGCTCGGTCAGTTTGCGGGCAGGGACGGTGTGGGGGACTTGGCTGGACCCCTCCAGAGCCAGGCAAGTGGGTCCTGAGGGAGCCCGGCCAGGGCAGGCACTGGCCTGGCTGATCGCACCACTCCCAAGGGGCCGGGGCGATTCCCCGCCCTGGGACCACCCTTGGCTGCGCTGCCAGCTCAGCCCAGTAGACAGTTGCCTCCCAGAGGGCCGGTGAGTGCAGACCTTGGGGGAGTGGGTCTCTGGAGGGCCTGGGGGGAGGGTGCTGGGCTGTGAGGGGGCAGGGAAGATCTCTGTGTGTTGGGGCACTAGGGAGTAGAGGTTCTGTGTGGGGTGCCGGGCAGTTAATCCAACCCTGGTGGTGGGCTCCATGTACCAGGCTACAAACTTCTTGATGCCAAAGGAGGCTGCTGAGGCATTGACCTGGAGGTGGGAGACCTGGGTCATGGTCCCAGCCTTTGGTCAAGTCCCTTGGCCTCCCCGTGCCTCAGTTTCCCCACAAAGGCAGATAATCATCTTCCTTTCTCCCACTGTTTCTCTGCATAGGCTGCTTTGTAGCCTCAAACTGCTCTGAAAACCCTAGCCTTGCACTGTGAGCAAATTGAGACGAGGCCTGTCTGTTACTGCGGGAGTGTACAGAACCGAGCACTATGGAGCTCTGATCTTGGTCGGGGTCTGCACAGCACCTGGCACAACGGGGGCCCTGCAGGCGGGAGCTGTGGTAGGTTGGCATCATTTTCCAGATGGAGAAACTGAGGCACCGAGCTTTTATTTAAAAAAAACCACTGAGACTTTCCAAGCCACGGAGGGATTTGGGCCCCTTTTCCCCATAAATTTCTACTGTAAAGCCAAAGGGGATGGGGAAAATCTGCCCCCTAAGTCACACAGGGAGCACAACTGAACTCAGGTGTCTCCACTTCCAGTCCAGGGCCTTACCCTTGGGCCCATATGGCTGGAGAGCTGCTTACTGCTGAAGGGCCAACTTCTCGGGACCGTCCTGTTAGGTCAGAGCCGGGGACTGTCAGGAGCCCCAGTCGCTTCCCCACAAGGGAAGCCTGGTGTTTCGGGGCAGAACCTGACTTGCCAGGAGGGCCTGGCCGAGGTAGGCGCAGCAGTAAGCGGGTTTCCTGTCCAAGGACCAGCACTCTGGAGACAGGATGCCACACCGCCCAGCCCAAGGGCTGATCCGGCTTGGCAAGGCCGCCATGGGGCAGGTGACCCCCAGGGGACGATTTAGTGGAGTTGCCTGAGGCCGGCCCCATTGTTTTGGCTCCGCACTGAATGCACAGGTCACTGGCCCATTGTCCTTCTCCAGGCGCCGGAACCGGCTGCCACATTGCCCGTTGGGGCAGCCCCAAGTCCCACTCTCTGGTTCCTGGCAGCTGCACCGAGGGCCCCAGCCAAGAGGGAGGAGTGGGCAGGCTCAGGAACGGCTGGGGAGCCGGGGGGAATGGCCCGGCCAAGGCCACGCAGATCAGATGGCCTGGGGAGGAGGGGGCATTGTGGCCAGCACATCCATCAAAAAGGTACCGGCCAGGGACCGACAGGAATGGTGTCGGCTGGGAAGGTGGAGAATACGAAAGGAGACATAGTCCATTCCCTGCCCCCTGGGGCCAGATGGGAGCCAGCATGCTCTAAAGGGGGAAAGCCCCATGCCCCATTCCCTGCCCCCTGAGCCAGCCAGTCCCTGCCCTGGGGCCAGATGAGAGCCTGTACCCCCTAGAGGGGAAAAGCCCCGTGCCCCATTCCCCACCCTTCTGAGCCAGCCAGTCCCCTGCCCTGGGGCCCAATCAGCATCGTAGAAGGCTTGACTCCACTGAAGCTATGTTGAATTACACTGGGGGGATCTGGCCGCACGGCACTGGCGGGGCGACCCAAGTGTACAGCAGGGGCGGATTTAGCCCTGAGGAACCCGGGGGGTTTCTAGGCCAAGGAGAAGGAATAGAGACGGCACTGGGGGGACACAAGCCCAGCTGCTTTGCAGAATGGAGCCTTTATTGAGTCAGGAGCGGAGCAAGAACAGGACATCTGAGCATAGCCAGATGCACCTGCCCCACTGCCTGCACTGCACTCGCCCCACCCCCCAACCCAGCTCCCCCATACACGGACAGCCCCCCACCCCCGCCTTTTGCAGCGCAGCTGGTGTCCAGGCCACCCAGAGACGCACGCAGCGGGGCGAACAACCAGGCAGCCTGCGTGGCCCGGGCAGTCCTGGGCTTGTGTCCAGAGCACATCTCACCGGACAGGAGCTGCATGGCTTTGAAGCGCTGCTCCCGTGGTGCCAATGTTAATAGAGAGATGCAGATTGACACCAGCTGGGGGGCTGGCCCCATTGACCCCCACAGAGCTACACTCCTTTCACACCAGCTGGGGGGCTGGTGCCACTGACCCCCATGGAGCTAGAGTCCATTCACACCAGCCGGGGGTCTGGCCCATTCGACACAACGCGTGGCCGAGGACTCAGTTCCATGCCAAGGCGGGGCAGGGCGGTGGTGCCCGGCCCCGTCACATGATGTGGCTCTCATCGAACTGCATGGGCCAGCCTGCCGGGTCGCAGGTGACGACGAGGAATCTGTGGTTGGTGTGGCCCAGGTAGCTGCACCGGCCCCACGGGGGGCCCTTCAGCGAGCAGGTGGTGACGGGGAACTGAGCCCGGCTGCGCCGCCTGCCCCAGTACTCGATGCCCCCGGAGCCGCAGACAGCCTGGATCTGGGCCTTGGGGGCGTGGATGAAGGTGTTGATGTCTTTGCAGGGCCGGGCCATGCCCCGGCGCTGCATCATGGCCCCACAGTAATCCCGCCCGGCGTTGGTCCGCGGGTGGTCATGGTGCTGCCGCAGGAACTTCTCGTAGCGCGGGCCCTGGCAGCGGACAGGCGGGGCCAGGCACCAGGCCAGCACCAGGAACAAGAGCAGGCTGAGCCCATCCCGAGAGAGACCCATTGCGGAAGCAGGGCAGGCCTGCAAGAACAAGACACCGTAATGCATGGCAGAGCTTTGTCCTCTAACGGGCACTACGGGCAGCAGAGGGCAGGGGTGGGGAAAGAGCGGCTATACTGTATAACGGGCACTAGGGGCAGCAGAGAGTGGGGGTGGGAAGGGGCAGCTATACTGTATAATGGGCACTAGGGGCAGCAGAGGGCGGGGAGGGAAGGAGCGGCTATACTGCAGCAGAGGGTGGGGAGGGGAAGCAGCGGCTATACTGTATAATGGGCACTACGGGCAGCAGAGGGTGGGGGAGGGGAAGCAGCGGCTATACTGTATAATGGGCACTAGGGCGGCAGTATAGGGTGTGGGGCAGGGGAGGGGTAATTGATCTCACACAGCCTGCTTACCAACCCTCGCCCCCATTGACTCTTTCCAGTCCAGTTACCACCCCCGCTCATCCTCTTGCCTGTCCCGGCCCTGTTCTCACTTTCCCCAGTGCAGCTGGAGAAGTTCCTGTGGATTCACTCCAGATTTAGGTGACTGAGAACAGACTTTGGAAGTTAGTGGCAGCGCTGGGAACCCAGGAGTCCTGGCTCCCACCTCCCCCATCCCTCTACACACCAGGCTGGTGTATGCTGGGGACATACATCAGCATAGCTCTGTCTGTCAGGGGAAATCCACCCCTCCCCCAGTGCCGTAGTTGTGCCGACCTGACCCCCGCTGCAGGCAGTGCTAGGTCGGGCCCCTCGGGGCGGTGGATTGCAGACACTGGCAGGCGAGCCCCTCTGCGGGCATAGTTAGTGTTTAAACCCAGGCAGTCCAGCGGTGCAGGTGCACATTTCATGTGTAAACAGCCTCTCTCTGCCCTCTGAGGGCCGGCGATAGACCCAGGAATCTGTACAGCCTACCCCTGTCTGCAATGGAGTCAGGGCCGCATTCTGCTCCCTGCCCCGAGTCAATCTGCATTCCCCCTTGGCTAAAATCTGTTCTCAGCTCACCTGAGTCCTGCGGCTCCCGTCAGAGATGGATCCAGCTACCAGCAGAGCTGAGCGTCCCTGAGCCTCCTTCCCCTCCAGCCCTGTTATATACAGCCCGGCTGGGTAGCTGGGGGTAGGGAGGAGGGGATGGGGGAAGCTCCTCCCACTGAGGGGCCCAGGGATTCTGGGTGGGGTAGGGAGTTCTGGAGCAATGGGGCTCTGGCCAGTAGTTTGAGACACTGTACACCCTACAGTGCCCCTCAACCCAGCACTACCCCACAGCCAGGGTTGGAACCCAGGAGTCCTGACCCCCGCCCCTGTTCTGACCCACTAGCACTCCTCTCCTGTCCCCAGCTGGGGTAATAGATTCCCAGTCCCCCTACCCTGTGCTACCTCACTAGGCCCCACTCCCCTCCCAGAGCTGGGGACAGAACCCAGGCGTCCTGGCCCCCAGCCCCCACACTCTAACCCCTAGACCCCACTCCCCTCCCAGAGCTGGGAACAGTACCCAGGCATCCTGGCTCCCTGCCCTGTGTTTTAATTATAGCCACAAACATCACCTCCTCCTCCCCCCCCTCCCCCCGCCCCAGGGTTGTTTGCCAAGGGATCTCCTGATGAAAAGCCGCCAGCTCCCTGCTGGCTGTTATCTAGGAATGCCTGGGAGCAGATAGCACAGACCGCACACAGCACCCCTGTCCCCCACTGCCCCCCTTCACCCACCCCTCTCGCCCCGTAAGCACATCGGCCTTGCGCTGCCCTCACATGCAGACATGGGGCCTAAGACGGCTGCATGCTCAGGTCCCATTCAAATCAAACGAAGAAGACTTTGGTGGAGGGGGGCCGAGCTGGACACCAGGACACCTGGGTTCTCTCCCGGGCCTCTGGGAGGGGAGTGTGGCCTAGTGGTTAGAGGGAAGGGAGGAGTCTGGGATCCAGGATTCCTGGGTTCTCTCCTGGCTCTGGGTGGGCAGTGGGATCTAATGGTTAGAGAAGGGGGGCTTGGAACCAGGACTCCTGGGTTACCTCCGGAGGCTCCTGGTCACCGGTACAGCCGGGGTGCAGAGGCAGGCTTCCCGCCTGTCCTGGCACCACGGACTGTGCTGCACCCCGGAAGTGGCCAGCAGCAGGTTCGGCTCCTAGATGGAGGCATGCAAGCGTCTTGGCGCGACTGTCATCTGCAGGCATTGCCTCCCCCCCACCAAGTTCCCACTGGCCAGTGTCCGGCCAATGGGAGTGGTGAGCTGGTGCTTGGGGCGGGGGCAGAAGCCTAGAAGCCAGACCCGCAGCTGGCCACTTCCGGGACACAGCGCGGTGTCGGAAAGCTAGGCACTAGCCTGCCTTAGCCAGGCAACACTGCCGACAGGACTTTTAACGGCCCGGTAGGGGTGCTGACCAGAGCAAGGCGACCCAGTGCCTGACATGCCGCGACCCAGTAGTGGGTCATGACCCACTGTTTGAAAAACACTGATCTAGTGGGTTAGTGGAAAGGGGGCTGGGAGCCAGGACTCCTGGGAGGGGGGAGGCTCTAAAAGATTAAGCAGTGGGCACTAGAGGTCAGGACTGCTGTGTTCTACCCCTGACCCTCAAAAGAGACTGGGGCGCAGTGGCTGGAGTGCGGAGGTCTGGGAGACCGGCTCGCTGACATTCACCTGGCTGTGGCCACACCCGTTCTGGAGTTTTGTGCCTCAGTTTCCCCACCTGCAGCACAGGGAGAGCAATCCTGGGCTGTCAAGTGCCAGGAAGCTGCCAAGGGGAATGGGCATGAGGGGCCTCGGCCACAGGCTGCTCTGACCCCAGGGGGGCCCCTCCGGGTGTCACATGGTGCAGAGCAAAGATCCCCAGGGCTGGTTCCTGGAGCCGTGATAAGCAGGTGCTAGGACAAACCCAGTGTTTGCTTGTGGTTCATCATCAGCTATTATTGGTCCCCATGACCCCATTTCACAAGGGCGCTGGGAAGGGAAAGCCGCGGGGAAACCCCGACCGGCCCTGGGAGCGGGAATGTCCACACAGATAGGGCTTGGGATTTGCCAACCCCCACACAGTAAACAGCACAGGCTGCTGGGATGCAGGCGCATGGAGCAGGCTGCTGGAGCAGCTGCCCGGTCTCCTGGGTTCTACTGCAGCTCTGGGGAGGGGAGTGGGTCTTGACTGATTAGAGAAGGAGGACTGGGAGTCAGGACTCCTGGGTTCTCTCCCCAGTTCTGGGAGAGGAGGGGGAGTCTAGTGGGTCTGAGCAGTGGGGGTTGGGGTCCAGGACTCCTGGGTTCTATGCTGATTCTCACAGGGGAGTAGAGCCTTGTGGGTAAGGGGAGGAGCCCCGCGCTCTGGGAGGGGCGTAAGGGCCAGTGGGTTACAAAGGCAGAAAACTCTGTCTCTCATTTCCAGCTCCCTGAACGTGCACTGGACAGGCCCCAGAGAGGAAAGTCTCCCTGCTGCAGCCAACCAGCTTTTCTGCCCTGGAGCCGGTTGGGAATCACCCCCTGGCGTGGGAAGGACCCGTCTCCCTTTGCAGCAGCAGATGCCCGTGAGCTGGGACTGGGCTAGAACAAGCCCTCCAGGGGTCAACAGCTGCCTAGCCCATCCCGGCAGCGTACACGGTTCCTGCCCAACTGCATCCGCTTCCATGTTACGCACCCCAGAGGGCAAAAATCACCCATGGTCCTTTGCTGGGATCCACAACACCAGCAGGGATGAAATTACCTTCTTGTTATTTACCACTAGCGAGTTCTCTCCTGGAAGAGACAGAGGGGATCACAGGGGCAGATAATCCCATGTCTCAGGGCACCTGGGTTCCTTTCCCATCTCTGTGTGGCCTTGGCAAGTCATTTCGCTCCTTTGCCTGCGGGAAAGGTGATGCTGCGGGGTGTGGGGTGGATTGAACTTGTATATCTAAAGCTAAAGGCTAGGCCAATGTAAGAAACTCTGGCTGCTAGGTGGAGCTAGAGCCCTATGATGTGCAGTCCTGGGTCACACGCTTCAAAAGACTTCCCAGATTCCAAGCCAGATGGGGCCCTTGTGACCATCTTGTCTGACACCCTGGAAAGATCAGAATTTAATCTGTAAATGTTGGTAAATGTCACTTTCACCGCACACACCTGTGAAAAACTTTTTCCGTCGCTGTTACTCAACAGACACAGGTCGGCGAAGTCACACCCACGCAGCCGGAGAACTTCTTTGCGTTCAATCAAAGGACGTCGACTTTGTATATTTTGACACATGACGTTGAGAAGTGGGGTTGTGATGATTTATTGAGCATTAACATTTTTGCATCTCACCGTCTTCGGGCATTAAACAACTATGGCACCCAATCATTTCCCACAGCTATGACATTTGAAATCGATAAAAGTTGGAAAAGAAATGTTGAACACCCAGAATTTTCACCAACGAGGAACATTGAATTTGATAAAAATAGAAAAAAAAATACGTAAAAAATTGCTATAGTCTGTTGAAATTACAAACAAAAATCAAAATCAACTTTTGCCAAGCTTATGTCTAGCCCAGGCCAGAGACCTTTCCCCAAATCATTCCTAGAGCAGATCTTTAGAAAAACAGCCAGTCTTGATTTAAAAATTGTCCCTGAGGGAGAATCCACCACGACCTTCGGTAAATTGTTCTGATGGTTAATTACACTGGCCCATTAAAAATTTACACCCCTTACTGCTGGGCTGTACACCCCTGCTTTAAAACGTTCTCGAGACCTTTTCGCTCAGCGAAGGAACATGCACAATGGCTTAGCGACACCCATGGTTGTGAGGAGCAAGACCAGGTATTGTGCCACCCGTCAGCACCCAGATGTTCAGTTCTCCAGCCAGCCCCTTGGTGCTTTCTCCTTACATGTGAAAGGAGCTTCCTCTACACAGACCTAGGGATCAAACTGGGGTTCTGACGTGCCCCAAGTGGCCCCAGTCTCTCAGCTGTAATTGACTGGGCCCAGGTGGCTCCAGAGGGCAGGTTGTAGCCACAGAGCCGGACAGCGTAAATTCAAACCCCAGCCTGGACAGGGAGCTGAAAATGAAACGCGGGCCTGTCATGCCAGCCTGTCTCGGGGGAAATGTAATCAGGGTCTAACAGGCTACTCAGGTGTTCAAAGTGCTCCTGGCTCTAGGAGGGGAGTAGGGCCTAGTGGCTAGAGCAAGGTGGGGCTGGGAGCCAGGACTCCTGGGTTCTATTCCCGATTCTGATAGGGGAGTGGGGTCTAGTGGTTAGAGTGGGGGGGGCTGGGAGCCAGGACTCCTAGGTTCTGTCCGGGCAGGGGGCTGTGGGTAAGGCACAGGATGTGTGTGGTTGTGGTTGTTGTTACCATCCCTGTGCTGACACCATCTCCTAACCCCCCAGTGTGTCCCCGACCCCTGGAGGGGGGAGGCCTTCGGCGGACCAGCTGGATCTGGGGGCAGAGAGCAATCAAGGTCAGCATCCCGAGGGGCCAGGCTGCCTCCTCTCCAGGGGGGCAGGAAGGATCAGCCCCCTTTTGGTGACTGGGGGACCCCACTAAGCACTGGGGCGGGAACACTGGCAGGAGATGGCTCCTCCCCCTCCCAGCCCTAGAGAGGTGGCCTCCCCCCATAATGATCATTGATGGCAGCAAGACCCTGGAGTGGGCTGCAGTTCAGCGCTGGGCGAGTCATCCCCATGCAGTGTTATGTGCGGCTGTTACCCAGCTGCCCCACCCCAGAGCTGGCTGCATCTCAGTGCCAGCCGAGCCATCCCCATGCTTGGCTCATCATGGGTTTAGATATAGGGGGTCAGACTTAGCCAGGTCTCATGCCCACGCCCCCACCCAGCCATGGCGTTACTAGTGCTTCCCCCTAGTGTTAGCTGTGAGTGTTTTGCACCTGGGCCCGACCCACACTGTGTGGCCCATGGAGATACTGCACCCCACATGTCTCTGGACAGCGCTGGGGCAGGGGAGCAGTTTGTGGGGGCCCCTGGAGTGCTGCAGGAGCCAGTGAAGGCTCTGGGCACAGCTGGGCCGGCACCACTATTAACACCCGGCAGAGCGTCCGGCCTTTCCCCCAGCAGAGTTTGTTCCAAATAGGAATGACAAAGTGGCGGGGGGGTGGGAGATTTCCCGGGGTTAGAATCCTTCGGTCGCAGCTTTAACGCAGCGGCCCGGTGGCAGGGGACC